TGGGCGACTCTATGATTAGATGCTCTAGAGCTCTACAGGAGTAGGTGACTCTCTGTGATTAGATGACTCTATTAGATGCTCTAATTAGGTGACTCTATGATTAGGTGAGATAGGTGACTCTATGTTAGGTAATGACTACATGAGTAGATGCTCTATGATTAGGTGACTCCATGTGAAAGGTGGCTCTATGGTGAGAAGGCCTGCCGCCCTCCACCGCGCTCTCCTCCACCAACAGCGAGCTGGCGCCGCGGGCGGCGATGGCGGCGCGGCGCGCCCCCCTCACAACCGTCTTGCGGACGGTCGCTGCGCCGCCTTCCCCAACCTGGACGCCACGCAGGAGTGATCTCGCGGACTCTCGAGTCCTCTCGGCTCCTCTCGCCTTCCCCAACCTGGACGCCGCTGCCGGCCGGGCTGTCGATGGTGCACTTCTCCAGAGTCGCGCGCGCCCCCGCGCGCACCGACACGGACGCGTGTCCCGCCCCGCCGCCGCCGCCGCCGCCCTCACCTCCGCCGCCGCCGCCGCCGCCCTCACCTCCGCCGCCGCCGCCGCCGCCGCCCTCACCTCCGCCGCCGCCGGCTCTTTCTCCCGAGAGCTCGCACGCTCGCAGCGTGGCCGAGGCGGCCTTGCCGGAGAGGAGGAGGGCGCTCTCGCGGCAGCCGCGCACGGCCACGCCCTCGGCGGTCAGCGCGCAGCTCGAGAGCACGAGGAACCCGCAGCCGCCGCACCGGGCCAGCTCTCCGCCAGACACGCGCAGAGCGCCTCTCGCCGCGAGCACGGCGCCGTGCGAGGAGGGGGCCTCGAGGGTGCAGGCGGAGAGGGAGGCGGACGATCCGTGCACCAGCACCGCGGCGGAGAGCCGCGCCGCCGAGACTGCCACCAGCCGGCAGCCATCGATCGAGACGCCGTCTCCGGCGGCAGCGCCTCGGACCTCCAGTGCGTAGGCCGGAGCCTTGGGCGTGTCGATGGGCTGGCGAGCCTCGAGGTTTGCGACGCGCACGGCGCTTCCAGCGCAGACAATTGCGCTCCCGTCCGAGCCCTCGACCACCGTCGACCCGGCACCCTCACCGAGGAGCGAGACGCCGGCCGGCACGTGCAACGTGCCCTCGCGGTATGTCCCAGCGCCGAGTAGGACGGTCCCGCCGCCCAAGGTGGCGGCGGCGGTCAGCGCGGCGGCAGCGCTGGGGTACTCGGTCGCGTCGGCGCCACCATCAGGGCGGAGGCGCGCGGTCGGAGGCATGTGTGTGTATGTGGCTTGGTTTTGGTTCACGTAGGAATCCTAACCAGGCAGGTTCAGGTTCAGGCAGGTTCAGGCAGGTTCAGGCAGGTTCGTTGTGAAGAGTGGGCGCGCCACAGCGGCCGTCACACGACGCTCGGCTGGCGAATAAAAGAGCGAATCAGGGAGAACCGGAGCCCCGGGAGGGCGGGCGGTGGAACCCTGCGGACTCAGGGCCGGTGCTTTGATTGACGCAGTATATTGTACTTCGAGGTAGTATGAACTCAGAACGGCCCCCCGAGAGCGCCTCTTCGACGCCCACGGGTCCCAGGGGGTCGGAGGGGTTGCGAGAGCGCCTTGGCTATTTTTTGTTTGAATTCTGGAGGCCGTACAAACATGTAACGTGCGTTCCACGTGCCCGTCCCCAGCAAGGACAACATGCTAGCCCAGCAGGCCGCTCCCACCGCCGCCCGCGGCGGAGGCAAGGCGGCAAAGGGTGGCAAGGGCGGCGGCAAGGGCGGCGGCAAGGGTGGTGGCCGTGTGGCGCACCAGACCCACTTTGCGCCGCCGCCCTCAACGCCCGATACTCGGTTGAGCCGGCGGAGCGACGGCGGCGGAGTTGCGGCCGCCGGCGACCTCACACAGCGTCGAACGCCGTAGAGACGGCCCCGAGAGCCGCCGCCAGGTGTGCCACGACCGCGGTCGCGAGGCTCGTGGCGATGGATGCGCCAGACCCGCTTGCGCCGCCGCCCTCAACGCCCCCGGCCGATACTCGGTCAGAGCCGGCGGAGCGACGGCGGCGGAGTTGCGGCCGCGGGCGACCTCACACGGCGTCGAGCGCCGTAGAGACGGCCCCGAGAGCCGCCGCCAGGTGTGCCACGACCGCCGACGCGAGGCTCGTGGCGATGGATGCGTCAGACCCGCTTTGCGCCGCCGCCCTCAACGCCCGATACTCGATCAGAGCCGGCGGAGCGACGGCGGCGGAGTTGCGGCCGCCGGCGACCTTCCCCTCGACCACGCCGCCGACCCGTCGACAAGCACACGTGGACTGCCATCGAGAAGAAGGAGAAGGATGGTGGCGCATCCGGAGCCCGCGGGCGTGGCGTGGGCGGGCGCGGGCGCGGGCGGACGCGCGGGAACCCCGCCAGCGGAGGCGGCAATGCCTCTGGCGGCTCTGCAGGCGGCGCGCGGCGCGCGCCCCTCGCCGGTCTCCCGCACGCTCCTGAGGGCCGAGAGGGCCGAGAGGCGGGGTCGGTGACCCGGGGGCATGGGCGGTGCGGCCCGCGCCGCGCGCGGGCGCGTGGCAGCCCGTGAGTGCCGAGATCGGGTCCGTACTTCGACGTAGTATGGGCCCCCGGAGGCCCATCTACAGCAGCGGCGAAGTGAGCGTGTTTGTGGTGTTGGTGTGGCGTCTGAGCTTGGATCTGTGACTAAAGCCGGTTACCACTGATGGATCCCCACCCGAATAACACACAGTGAGCGCCCCAGCGCTTCACTACGCCCTCCGCGCGAAATCGCTAGTGGTGCTTTGTGGTAGTATATTGTACTTTTGAGTAGTATGGGTACGGTTCCCGAGACCGCCTGATACGGGATGCTGAGTGAGGACCGGTGTACGTGCGTGGTGTACAGTGTCGTGTCTACTAGCTCCGAGTAGAGGGGGCGTTCTGAAGTTAAGGGGAAACCCGGTACACGGAGCCAACCCTCGGAGACCTGTGTTTACTTTACGGCCCTTGCCCTGCGAACGCGCACCCCCGGGGCTAGGGCTTTCTTGCCCGCAACCCGATCCCGATCATCCGGCCCGCTGGGTGCGCTTCTGAGCTCCCCGGCCCTGGATGTGAGGCTGATGACTGCACTCCAAGTGCTCCAAGTGCGCCACCCAAGTGCGGGGGCCGGGGGCTCGGTTTTGGTTCACAGCCTTGTTTGTATTCAGAAGAATTTAAACAAAAGAACTCCCTCTTTTATCGGTAGTCGAGGAGCAGCGCAGTGTTCTGTGTGGTGTGTCTGTGTGGTTCTCCGCAGAGCCTACCCAACCCCCCAAAGAGCCGGAACCCAAGCGAAGGTCGGTGAGCTGCTCACGTTACGTTACCGATCCTACCGGTGTACCTGTGTTAGTGCCAGTGCGGGTTAGTCCCGTGCCCAGTGTCGTGCGAGGGAGTCCATCCTACCGGGTACCCAAAGAGCCGAACCCAGCGATGGAGGGCGCAGGGTCCCTGAGCTGCTCCGACGCGGCCGTGCTAGCGGCTGAGCGAGGCGAGGAAGAGGCGGTGCTGGCGTGGCTCGAGGGCGGCGGGCGGGCCAACGCGACGTACGAGAGAGGCAAGCTGAGCGGCAACACGCTGCTGATGGGCGCCGCCAACTACGGCCACGAGCGGGTGGTCGAGCTGCTGATACAGCACGGCGCGGATATCAACCTGCAGAGCAGCGACGGCGACACCGCGCTGATGAATGCCGCCGAGAACGGCCACGAGCAGGTGGTCGATTGGCTGATACGACGCGGCGCTGAGCTCAACCTGCAGAGCAGCAAAGGCTACACCGCGCTGATGTTCGCCGCCGACAGAGGCCACGAGCGGGTGATCGAGCTGCTGCTGCGGCACGGCGCGGAGATCAACTTCCAGGACAGCAAAGGCGGCACCGCGCTGTTGGGCGCCGCCGAGTACGGCCACGAGCGGGTGATCGAGCTGCTGCTGCAGCACGGCGCTGAGATCAACCTGCAGAACAGCGACGGCGTCACCGCGCTGATGGCTGCCGCTGTCGGAGGCCACGAGCAGGTGGTCGAGCTGCTGATTCGGCGCGGCGCTGATGTCAAGCTGCAGGGCAGCGCCGGCCAAACCGCGCTAATGCTCGCCGCCCGGGAAGGCCACGAGCGGGTGGTCGAGCTGCTGATTCGGCACGGCGCTGAGATCAACTTGCAGAGTGGCGGGGGCGTCACCTCGCTGATGGGCGCCGCCCACGACGGCCACGAGCGGATGGTCGAGCTGCTGCTGCAGCACGGCGCGGAGATCAACCTGCGGGACCGCGACGGCCGCAATCCGCTGATACACGCCGCCATCAACGGTCACGAGCGGGTGGTCGAGCTGCTGATACGGCGCGGCGCTGAGATCAACCTGCAGGACAACGACGGCGACACCGCGCTGATGCGCGCCGCCTACAGCGGCTGCCCCACCGTCGTGCTCCGCCTGCTTCGGGCTGGCGCGGATACAAAGGCTCGCGCTGCAGACGGCAGGTCCGCGCTGCAGATCGCCAAGGAGGAGGCGGCCAAGGTGTTAGCTACTGCCGACGCCGCCAGTGCTCCCGAAGCGGACCACGCCGGGTGCGTGCGCGCTCTCACAGAGCACGCAGCGGCGCTGAGGGAGGCGCAAGCGGCGGAGAAGGCGGCCGAGAAGGCGCTGGAGGCCAAGGGGCGGCGCGAGCAGCGCGAGCGGGAGGCGGCGGCGGCGGCGCGAGAGCGGGAGCGGGCGGCACGACAGCGCGAAGCAGAGCGAGTGGTGGACGAGGCGCGGCGAGCGGCGGACGCGGCGGCGCTGGAGGAGCAGAGGCGAGCCATTGCGGCGGAGGCGGAGGCGAAGCTGGCCGCTGAGCGCGCGGCAGCAGAGGAGACGCTGCGGGCGAGGGAGGCGGAGAGGCGAGCGGCTGAGGAGGCGCAGCGAGAGGAGCAGCGGGCGGCCGCGGCGGCGCGCAAAGCCGCTCGGGCAGAGGCGGCGCGGCGCGACAAGGAGGCTGCGGACAGGAGGGCGGAGGAGGAGAAGGCGAGGCGGCGCGCAAAGGCGGCGGAGGCAACGGCGGCCAAGAAGGAGGCCAAGGCGAAGAACAATAAGGCCAAGAAGGCGCCGTCTGCCTGCACGCTCGAGGAGGAGCGGAGGGCGAAGGCTGCGGCAGAGCTTCGCGCGCAGGAGGAGAGGGCGGCGCAGCTGGCTGCTGAGCAGGAGTCGGCGAGGCGGGCGGAGCGAGAGGCGGCAGAGCTAGCGGGTGCGGCAGAGCGGGCGGCGCTGCGAGAGGATGCGGAGCTGGCAGAGGCGCTGCGCCAGTCAGAGGCGGATGCGGAGGAGGCACTGGCGCGTCGGGTGTCGCGGTGCGAGGAGGCGGTGAGCAGCGAGTCGACCGGCGGAGGCGGGGATTTGCCGCTGCGTGTCGAGCGGCTGGAGGCGAGCCTCGGCGCGGCGACCGAGGGCAGCCTCGAGGAGCGGGTCAGCGCCATCGAGCGCTTGATCGGGCCAGAGGCGGGAGAGGCGGCGGAGCAGCATCTGCCAGTCACCGAGCCGCTTGCTGCCGTCTCACTAGCCGACGCCGGCCTCGACACGGGGCGGCCAGCCCCCGAGTCCACGATGGGGGGAGAGACCACGTGTATCGTGTGTTTCGCGAGAGCCAAGTCGCATGCTGCGGTTCCGTGCGGGCACTTGTGTGCTTGCGGGCCATGCTCTGAGCTGATGCAAGAGTGCCCTTACTGCCGTGAGCCAGTGATGATGTGGATGGTTCCGCGTCCAGTCTAGACTACCGTAAAGTATGTTTGAGTCAGTAGATTATGTTTGACAAGTCGGAGCAGACGGCATCGACCGCCGCGAGGGGGAACGCTCAGAAGACTCTGGGGGGGCGCGGGGGCCCCCGGAGGCACCGTGCGCCGCGCCGCAGTGCGGAAACGGGGCCCCGGCGCTCAGAGTCGCTCAGAGCACCAACTTCCCGATTAAGCTAGGTTAATCAGAGGGAAGATTTGGAGAGATCTCGAGGAGTACATACAGATAGACCCTCCAACCATCAGAAACCTCCGACCTGATTGGTCGCACTGACCGCCGACAGATCACTCCAGACAGCAGACAGGCCGACGTCTGCACGCGGCCGGCCGGGCGAGAGGCTTGACACGATCCGACCCTGCGACCCTGACGCTGGTGCTCCAGTTATCAGACATGCACTGCTGACTGCTGCCACACTGTGCGACCTGTGCTGGCCCACTTGGCGGCCTTCCCGGTCAGTGGTGAGGCGCAGTTCAGAACTGTCGATGGCGCGATGCCGCACTGGTCCCACATTGGTGACACGACACCACACGTTTGCCGGTCCAAGAGAGAGGCACCGGCGCTGTCCCGAGAAGGTGCGTGGTCCCTCTTGACTGCCCATGCGCGCGAGGCTGTGTAGGCATAGCCTCGAGAGTGCCAGCAGCCAATCCGAGGCGACGCGCATTGCGCCAGAACGCAGAAGCGTGCACACGATGGAAGGACACCTTCCTACTGGCCGTACGATCAGGTCGTCACTGAATGCTTGATACTAAGGCCGCGAGCTATGCAGGCGGTCACAGTTGAGCACATCATGGCACGGGCAGCAGCGCCGAAAGGATGTCGCAAGGCGTGATAGCATGGCCGAACTCCCATGAAAACAAGTAAAGAATGCCCACAAATCCCGAAAAAATCGGCGCCTGCGGCGGGCCATGGGACCCCATCTCCCCCCCGCATGGACACCCTCTGGGGCCCCCGCGCCGGCCCAGAGGCTCCCCCCGAACCCGCACCCATACCGAGGACAAGCGACAACTAGTACGCGGGCGCGAGCGTATAATTCGCAAATGGGACAAAGCCGGCAACGCTCGCGAGGCCTTGCAGCCGCGCGAGGTCGCACTTGCACGCGAGGCGGACCTCCTCAAGGCCGTTCTCGAGGGCGAGAGGGGCGGAGAGCAGTCGCCGGAGTGGGGTTGGGATTGCGCTTCCGTTGGGTAGGTACCACGCGTTCGGATCGGCTAGGTAGAGGGCCGCCTGCACCATCAAGCCGACGGCGGCAGTGGCACCGACGAGGACGCCTCGCCCCGCCGTGCCGCTCTCCACATGCGCGCGAAGGCTCGCGCTGAGAAGTGGCACGCTGTGCGCGACGAGCGACTGCGCCGCGAGCACGCATAGCGATGCGACTCGCACCGGGCGGACGTAGAGGAGCGCGAGGGCGAGAAACGTCGACACAGAGACACCGAGAAGGAGCGCGGCTGCCCATCGCCGACGGTAGCCTCTCATGCACGTGGAAGGCGCAGAGGCCGCTCCGCCTCCGGTCGGCGAAGACAACATCTCCGACACCTCCGATCGGCCGTCTGCCATCGGCTCCAATTCCTCTTGATATGCACCGCCGTTCTCCGCTCGTGGCAACAGCCCCTCGAGAATGCCACCTACCCGCCTTCCCATGTCGACGCCAACGGCGACTGCGGCAGCCGCCTCATTCCGCAGCACCGTTACTGCTGCAAAGCCACCCGAGTACAAGCCCGACATCACGGGCTGGTACGAGGCTGGGTCGAAGAGCGCGCGTCGCTGCCGCAGCACAGAGAGTCCCCGCTTCACCTCTCCCAGACCGGCAGACGAAAAGGCCTGGAAGACCGTCAGCGTGAGCGTGAACGAGGCTCCATAGCAGAGAATGATTGCGTCGATAACAAGAGGGGCACAGGAGAAAAGCTGGACCCAGTCTCGAGCCGCTCTCTCTCCCTTCTTTTGCGCGCTCGGCGACGACGCGAATGCGGGCTCGCGTGATTTCAGCATGTCGGAGCCGCGTCCTTTGGTCGATTTCGGCCTGTTTCGGCCGATATTTTGAAGAAAAAGGGGGATGTCTGTGAGCCCGAGAGCGATATGCCCTGTCCGCCTTGCGTTGTTTCATAACACGAAGGCTAAGCTCAGAAAAAAAGCAAACGTTTTCTCAGCACGATATCTCTTCCACGAGCCAATCCAAAGGACGCGGCGAGAAGCAGCGGAGGCGAGGGTTTTGGTGCGCCATGTGGGATAGCGTGAAGGCGATCAGCAACACACTCGCTTCGAGCGTCGAGCAGGTGGGAGGTGCTGTGCTGGACGGTGGCGCAGCCGTTACCGAGACAATGGCTGCTGTCGGCGAGCAGGTGGGCGGTGCTGTGCTCGATGTCGGCGAGCAAGTGGGCGGTGCTGTGCTCGATATCGGCGAGCAGGTGGGCGGTGCTGTGCTGGATGGCGGCGCGGCTATCGCGGGCACCTCATCATGGTTGGTCGATGAGGCAACGGATCACCTCGACAAAATGGCTCTCGGTCATCGCTGCGGCGGCACCTCCAATGTTCCGAGCGCGACTCTGTCGGCACAGCAAACCGGCTCCGCCGTCGCCACAGCCGCCGTCGCCACAGCCGCCGCCGCCACAGCCGCCGCCGCCGCTGCCACACCTTCCGACGGCGGTCGCAGTTTCGCCGCCTCGCGATACAAGACCCTGTACGAAGAGATGCCACGCGTGACCTATGCCTATGAGCTGCAGCGCGCGCTCCACAGCTTCGTGCGAGCCTGCGCCTCCCACCCGACGATGCGGGTTCCCGCGCCTGAGGGGGACGCGTTCTTCGGCCGGCTTCTAAACGAGGCTCTCGCCGCCGGTGGCGTGGCTGAGATACTCGACGAGGCAGCCCTGAGCAGGTTCGCAGTGCGCGTGTGGACCTCGCAGCAGCTCTGGGGCGGGCGCGAGTTCTGTTCTCTGCTAAACCAGGCCATTCGCGAGGACGGCACCCGCGCGCCCGCCACGCTGCGGCCTGCAGTGATACTCTGCCGCGCAATCAACGACGTGCTGTGCTGCGGCAATCGCAAATCGGGCGCCAGCGAGTGGCCCAGTGGCCCAGGCGCGCTGCCGCCGCTGCTCGGCCAGTGGGTGAGCGCCAGCTGGAGTTCGGAGGCAGACGCCACATTTCGAGGGGGTGCGCTGCCGGCGGAGCACGAGCCCTTCTTCACCGTCGGCAGGCGCTTTCGCACCTGCATGTTTGTCGCAACCTCCTTCGATGAGGCGGTCGCGCGGCAGTTTATGGCGCGCGCGCCCGCCGACATGCAGCCGGTGCTGTGGCGGGTGCGCTTCGACCCGGTGCGTCGCTGCAAGCACGTCAACTATGTCGGCGCGCTCTCGACGGCGAGCTCGCGCGAGGCGGAGTTCCTCTTTCCTCCCTATTCGGTGTTCTCCGTGCTGCGGCTCGAGCGGTCGCAGCGCCACCTCATGGTGGAGTTGCAGGCGGCCGTGGATAATTTGCACGAACCGATCGAGCTGCCGCTCGCGCCGTGGTCGTGAAGCTCGTTGCTCGTTGCACTAGTATGATTCGCTCTTTGACGATATTCGATATTACTACCAGCTACCTTTTGAACACACGGAGTCAGACCGATTCTCGCATCTCGGGAGTCGCGGGGGTGACGCCGAGCCGAGCGAGCGAGAGGCAGAGCGGGCGACCCTACTCGTGACGAGCGACACACAGACAGACTCACAAACACGACAAAAACCGGCGCAAAAAAAACGCATCAGATAACACCAATCTATATGAACGTAACTTGTACTTGCGCACGAACTACGTAAATCGTGTCAACTCGCACGTTTAGCGTGTCGTCCGGCGCGAGGAGGGCGTTCCGGTGGCGCCGTCGTACGATGCCTGCAAGTGCCTCAAGCATAATAACGCGAGTCGGCGTCGCCCCAATGCGCCCCTCAGCCATCTGTCCTCTGCCCGTGGTCAGACGGAAACCGGTAATGCAGAGGCGGCGGTATTCGTGGACTAGCTGCTCCCTCCCCATGCCCCGTACCTCCTCTAGCACGGCTTCATCCAGGGTCGTGCTTTCCAGGACTGCGCGGAGTGCCGCCTCGAGGGTCAGTGTGGTGTATGGACATTCGAGGGCGAGGTGGCGTGTCGTTTCAATTGCTCTCACGCCGCCCAGTGTAGGCCGCACAGGTCGCACAGCCCCTGTCGACGTGGCTTCTCTTACATCTTCGCGGCCCAACCGGTAGGCGGTAGCGCATCAGTCAACACTGAGTACGCCGTGTCCGACGTCGGTCGTGATAGGGACCTGTCGTGGATGGAGCGGAAGATAGACCGCGCTATCCTTCGTTCATCAGAGGCTGCGCTCTCGCCATTCCTCTCTCCCCTCGTCGCCGTCGCCATCGTCGCTGTCGCCCTCGCCGTCACTTGCCTCATCTCTGCCCCCGTCCCCACCGACGTCGCTGCCGTCGGAGGGGTTAATTGCGGCGGTAAAGGCGTCCAGGAGTGGGCCAGCGACTGCCTCCTGCGCTAGTCACTCATCCTCCTCCTCGGATGCGTCTCGCCATCGCACCTTGTACTCCGGTTCCCCTCGCTCGATGTTTGTGCGCTGCGCCAAGATGCACTCAATTTCCCACTCTCGGTTCGCATCGTCTTGGATCGCGCGCCCTTCACGTTCGGTATGAGCTAATAGATCATTGAAGCGCGTCGTGGCCGTTGCATCGTCCGGCGGGCGGGATGGGTCAAAGTTCCACAGCAGGTCGCAGCCGAGCTTGCGGTTGGGGCCGCATCCGCCGCGCATCGCCATAATCTCGGGCGGCGTGCCGCGGCTCATCGTGTCGATGAAGAAGGGCGCCACAGGCTTGAGGACGACCGCGCTCGAGTCTGCGAGCAGCACGCTGATGCCCTCCTTGAGGAAGGCTCGGTGACGGCTCAGAGGAGATTCAGGGGAGGTTTCATAGCAGCACCGCTGCTGCCCGCCTTGACCAACGCCGCGGCCGCCATGTGCCGCTCGGCCAAAGCCCGCTGGATGTGCCTCCTCAGCCGGCTGGTCGGGTCAACCCACGCCTGGAGGGACCACGGGGCGGCGGCTGATGTGAAGCGTGGTAGGAGAGTGGCGCAGCGTCGAGAGCGAGAGGCACGTTGAGCCCGGCGGTACCGTTGCTGGTCGCCACGCCGCGACCGCGCAGGAAGGACAGCACGTCGCCGTCGAGCGAGTGCACGAGGTGGTTCTCCACGCCCACCTGGAGCCGACTTCCGAGACGGTTGAGAACGACCCACGGAGAGAGCGCACGGGGGCTCCCAGCCCGCCTTGGCGGCTGCGCGGTACCAGTTCAGCGCGAGGAGCCGAAAGTCAAAGTCCGCCGCGCAGAGCAGGACGAAGTTGTCCCTCAGCCGCGACTTTGCCACCTCGACGAGGGATGCGTATCGATGCGACGGGAACGGGTCGCTCCTCCGCCTCCACCCCGGCGGCGAGCCGTAAGTATCTGCGAGCTTCACTGGCACGTGCTTGTAGGGCTGGCTCCAGTGCTGGTAGCCCTTGAGGTTGCCCTCTCCTGGCCGGCAGGCCCGGCCGCCGCAGCGAACGTCGTGCGTCGGGGACAGCGGCAGCGGCGCGGCCGAATCGGCGCTGGCGCCATCGGCGAGCTCACGCCGGCGGAACTTCTTGTGCTTGCCGTCCGCAGCGTCGAGGCCGAGGGCGACGACGGCGGTGAAGAGGAGGAGCCTGGCGCCGGCTAGGCGTGGCATGTACACAGCCGCAACGAACGTGTTGCGTCGACGATCGGTCGCGAGAACGTGTTGCGTCGACGATCGGGTCGCACACAGGTGCTCGTTGTGGGGCGAGGCAAGGCGCGATACAGTTGCGGCTAAAGCGGCCGGGCGTGACGTGTCAGAAACTTTGAGTAAACAGCACGCGGGCTAGGGCTCTCTTGCCCGCAACCCGATGCCAATCATCCGGCCCGCTGGGTGCGCTTCTTAGCTCCCTGGCCCTGGATGTGCGGTTAATGACTGCACTCCAAGTGCTCCAAGTGCGTGTGCGCGCACTTGCGCCGTATTTGCTTTTCGCTCTGCAGTGACAGCCCCGCGCGAAACCGCTGGCCGAATGTATGGTAATTAATGAATTTTCATCTACATATCACTCTGAATCATCCCAGACAGAGTGGTTGATACACATACCGCCTCTCGAGGGGAGCATTAATTATCGCCACGTGCGCGGAAGTTGCGCTTGTAGTTGTCCCACTGATCATTCTGCTCCTCAAGGCTGCCGGTGAGCTCCTTGCTTGTGTTGGCGGCGGCCTCGCGCGTCGCCTTGCGCTTCTCGTGCCAGCGCCGCTTTTCGTCGGCCGCGCGCTTCGCCCTCGAGCTTCGCCCTGCGCTCCATCGGCGTCATCTTGTTGGCCTTGCGCTTCTCTGCAGCAGCGTGCGAGACGGCGAGCTGATGCCCAGGCGCCTCCGGCTGCGCCTGCCGGATGACGCCGGCGCGCCTACGCGAGAGCCTGACTGTTGTTCATCTTTCTACATACATACATACGCGAGTGCTGCGCCGGCGCCGCGTCCTCGGCGGCGGACGACGTCGTGGACGGCGCCGGAGCGCGCTCCTTGCCGAGGGGCACCATATAGATGCGTGCTGGGTGGCGGCCAGACTCCGCTGAAACGACGAATACCGGACACGGGGAAAATATATGGTCCGACACATCTAAAGTGAAAGGGCGGGGTAGGGGAGAAGTACTCTTGAGGGGGTTTTGACCGCGCAAGATAAAGGGTGGCTAAGGGCTCTGCCCGCAAGGCGCCCGCGTCGCCGACGCGGTACCATTGACTAATCCCGGGATTCACACCCACACGACCAAATAGCGAAAATCCGAATACCGTGCAAAAACCACGAATCTGAGCAGAAGAACGGTAACCTCACCTCAATCAAGTTTGGCAAACGCTGAACATGGGCGACCCGGCGCTTCCTTCGATTGGACGGACGAAATGATCGGGAACAGCGGGTCCGCCATCGCGACCTCTGGGGGTTCACCATATGCCGAGCCTGCCTGCTCGGCCTGCCATGCGCGCGCGCGCGCCTCGCCCGAACGCAGCCACCTGCGGACCTGGCCAGCCTGTTCCTGGCGGCAGCGGTGCTGGCCAGCGCCATCAGCCCCTCACGGCCCGGCCCAACCTTCCCTTCCCCCCGGGCAGGATCACGCTCCTGCCGACGGACCGGTGGCCGGAGATCTGCGAGCCGGAGGGCGCGGACATTGGCAAGCTGTCGGAGTGGGTGTACCCCGGGCTGCTGAATGTCGACCAAAACGACCAGGAGCTGGTGGAGCAGCAGATGCGGCTCGCGACCGATGTGCAGAGCACCACTATTATTACTGGTTACTGGAGACTGTGCAGAGCACTCCTATTATGACTGTGGTTACTAGACTGTGCAGAGCAGTACTATTACTGGGGACTGTGCAGAGTCCTGATGCTGCTGGTTACTGGAGACTGTGCAGAGCACTCCTATTCTTACTGGTCACTGGAGACTCTGCAGAGCACTCCTATTATGACTGGGGACTGGAGATACTATTATTACTGGGGACTGGAGACTTGTGCGGAACACTCGGCGAACGGAGAGGTCAGCACCTACGGGATCATGACCATGTGAAAGAGGGTCAAAAACTGCTACGGAGATGTCCAGGGGGTATATGGGGTATATGGGCGTATATGGGCGATATGGGGGTATATGGGGAGGAAGGAGAATATCTCGAGGAATCTCCGAGAATTGGATCAATGGTGGCAATTTCCCCCCCCCCCGCCCCCCCCCCCCCACCCCCACGCCCTCCCCTCCCCTTCGAGCCTCGCCTACACAGACAAAAAGAAATCGAGCGCGGCGCGTGGTGGTTTGCTAATGAAGGCAGAGCCCGTGCTCAAAGAAGAGAGAGAGAGGGGGGGGTCGAGCCAGGTCACTCCCCCCCCCAGTCCCCCCCCCCCCCCACGCCCTCCCCTCCCCTTCGAGCCTCGCCTACACAGACAAAAAGAAATCGACCGCGCGACGCGTGGTGGTGCAGAGAGAGAGAGAGAGAGAGAGAGAGAGAGAGAGAGAGAGAGAGAGAGAGGGTCGAGCCAGGTCACTGCCGCACCTACGGGCAGCACGCCGCGGCGTTAGCGTCGCGACGACCGGCACACTCTCTCGTGTCCTCGGCGCTCGGACTGGAGCCGGGCAGCGATTGGCAAGCGAGCGGGCTGCGTCGCTCTCTCGCCGGAAAAGAGTGGGGGCAATCGGGCGGGTTCGCTCGGTGTAAGGGTGGGAAACGAGCGGCAGCGGCCGCGTCTCGCGGCTCCCCGATGGCAGCAGCCTCACCTGCGAACGGGAGGTGGCAGGCATTGTGAGGCCGAGGGGGGCGTAGCCGCTTGGGCGCCAAATCGAAGCGCATCGCATGGTGGGAGCGGAGAGGGAGCGGCGGGTTGCGTGAGCAGGAGGCGTCGCGCCGCTCGGGCGTGCAGCTCCCCGCGGCCATATGTGCGTCGACGCGGCGGGGCCAGCGCGAGCGGAACGGGAAAGGCGAGGGTTGGACCTTGTGAGCCCCACGTCGAGGGGAACGTGGGGATCTGTCAGGATCGAGTAGTTCCGGTTCTCGAGGTTCTCGAGGTGGATATCCTTTGGCCGCGTTGGGTAGTTCCGGGAGGTTTCTCATATGAGGAGGATGCCCCCAAGGGAAAGCTCAAGGAGCTGCCTGGCGATTACCCCTTTGCGCGGCAGCAGGATTGCGATCTACGTTTGTTTGATTTTGAGGCTTTCGGAGGCTTTGGAAAGGAGGTTCGCAGCACCCTGAGGGAGGCGGCGAACCAGCTGAGCAACAAACTTTCGCACGCTCAGCACCTGGACGAGGTCACATGGACCACCAAGAACTGGCACGGGCTGCAGATGCAGCGCTTGTCTGTCGTCCTCCACACCGCCGTGGCGTGGCAGACGGTGAACGAGCTAGCGTGCGGGGAGAGCGGCATTGTGCACGGTGCGGAGTGCATTGCCGTTCTTAACGGAGTTGCTTAGGCGGCTCCGGTGGTGAGCCTGTGTGTGTGCCAGTCCGCGCCAGTCCGCGCCCTTGTCGTGCCAGTGTGCTGTGAGAGAGGTTTGTATCTTAAGAATTCTCATATGAAGGGGAACGTGGGGTACATCTCATGTTGATATGAAGGCTGTATAAAGGGGAATGTGACGCGCGCTTTTGGATATCTATAAAGAAGGACACCGAGATAGCCAGCCGAACAGTACCCTTTTGCGTTTAGGGCGCTCGCCCTCACTTGTTCAATGCTCTGGCAGTCTTCCCATGTGGTGACCGTGGACCGGCCGTAGTAGCCGATAATGCCGCTCACTCAGTGCTAGCGCCCTGCTACGATCCAGATTCCTCTCTTGCACTCCGACCTCATTCTTTTGCAAATTGCCGGCTTTGGATCTCAGCGAGCCATGGAGACGCGTGCGGGAAAGCACCGTCTGTCGCCGCCGCCGACGCAGACCGGCTCTCGCCGACGCGGGCCCCACCACCGCGGTCGGGACGGTGACGACGACGAAGACGGGAGCCGACGTCTGATGAAGACGAGTCTGCCGAGGGCGAGGGCGAAGAGTCGGAGCCGCCGAGCCTTCGAGCGGCCGCGCCGAGCAAGCGCCGGCGCGGTACGGGCAGGCGCAAAAACTGCGGACGGTGGAAGCAGCTGAAGGGGCCGAGCCGGGCTCTGCGCACCGAGGAGGGCGAGCGGCGGGCTGCTGCGATCGCGGCGCGAACCGCAGCGGCGCCGGCGCCGGCGGCGGGCGTGGGCTTCAACGCAGCGCTATTCAAGGAAAGCGCCGCCGACTACCTGGAGCTGCTCGCGGCGGAGGGCGAGGCGGCGGGCGCGTCGGCGCCTCAGTTCTCGCGGACGATGGTCATGGCTGCGGGGATGGTCGTCCGGCCGTGCTTTAGCGGCGGCGGCCGGACGGGGCAGCGTGAGGCGACGGTGCAGCGCGCGGCGGCCGCGACTGCGGCGGCGGCGGAGGCGCCGGTGCGGCGGGCGGAGGGGCTGCGGCTACACCTCGTGAGCGGCGGCACTGGCTACAAGAACGTATACCTGATGAAGGACCGTAAGAAGCGGTCGCAGGGCCGCTTCAAGGCGCGGTCCAGGGTGGACGGCAGGTATGTCTGCCTCGGCTGCTTCGACACGGCGGTGGGGGCGGCGGTGGCGTACGCGCGGGCGGTCGGCGAGCCTCCAGCGTTGGCCGAAGAGGAGGAGGGGCTGCGGCTGCACCTCTCGAGCAGGAGTAGCACCGGCTACAGGGGTGTGTTCACCCACAATGGCAGCTTCCAGGCGCGGTGCAGGGTGGACGGCAGGGATGTCACCCTCGGCCCCTTCGACACGGCGGTGGAGGCGGCGGTGGCGTATGCGCGCGCCCGGCGGGGTTTCGGCCAGTGAGACACTTCCCGTAGCATCGATACTGGAAGCCCAGGTAGGCTCTTGGAAAAGAGAATTTTTCGGGCTCCCTACAAAGCTCCCTCACACGACACTGGGCACGGGACTGGCGCGCACAGGCACTAGCACAGGCACGGGGAATGACATGTTATATCAATTTCGAATTAGGTCACAGATGAGTCGCCGATCACAAAGTAGTATGAGATGTCCAGCGCGGCCTGCAGTTTGTGCACGGAGCCCCCTTCGTGTTGTACTCGGAGAAGGTGCCGTCGAAAGGGCGCATCGAGACCTGCGCCAGCGCGGGAGGGGGGGGGGGGGGGTGCAGGCTTCCGTGGGCAAAGGGCTGGGGCGGCGGGCCCACGGCGGGGGAGAAGAGACTTGCCTGCCGCTCGATCGCGTAGCGGAACTCCATTTCCTGCGACGCGTGCCGGACGGCACTCGCGATGCGGTTGACACTCGGCTCCTCGGCTTGCCCGCCCGCCAACACCGCCCGAGGTGTGCCCTCGTTGCTCGTGGCGAGGGACGGCGGCGGCGGCGGGCGGGCCCCCCTTTGGACCTTTGCCGGCGCCGATTCCGCCAGCTTCGTCCACTGCCTCTCGAGAGCTCGAGCGCGCCGCCAGAGGTTGAGCCAGCGGACGAGCCTGCAGACAGCGCGTGTGGCGGGTCGGAGGGCCGTGGTGGGTGGACACACCCCCGCGGAAGGCGGGGCGGAGGGGAGCCGTGGCAGGAAGACTTGCAGCGGCAGCTCGTACAGCGGCTTCAAGATCATGAAGCATAGCATTGTCACGCGGAGCTCGGACCAGCAGTCGTCGCGCACAAAGATGAAGTCCTCGCCCCCGCCGTCCCCGCCGGCGCTGCAGCGCGATCCGGCGCTCATCGAGGCCCACCAGTCCCTGCCTCGGGCGCCACAGGTGTCCGCGTACGGTTCGCCGTACGGGTCGGTGTACCCCCACCCGCCAAAGAGCGTCAGCGAGTTCGGCTTCGCGAACGCGACGTAGACGAGCGGGCCGTAAGAGTTGATGCACTGGAAGAGGAAGGACTTTCGGATGAGCGCGTCCTCGTACTCGGTGTCTGTCCTGTGGTACTCGAGGCCGTTCAGACAGGCTGCGAGCCGCTTGTACAGCGCGTTCATCACCGAGATCCACACGGTGTTGAGCGCCGCGCCGATGAAGGGACCCCATTGCGAGTTGAGGTAGGTGTTGCCTAGCCTCGGGCGAGCTCGGAGTGACCTCGGGAAGGCTGCGGTGTCTCTGCAGCGCGGGGGAGGGCTCGACGAGGGGAGTTGGGAGCGAGTGCCAACCCCACACACAATGAATGCCTAAACACCCAACCCAGTACAGCGGCGAACGGGCCAAGGGCGGGTACTCATACGGGAGGAACGGGTACAGGCAACGGGTACGGGAGTTGCCCGGGCGGCAATGCTGCTCGCAACGCATGTGGGCGTCGGCTCGCCTTCGAACTGTGTCCCCAGCCGGAGCAGCGCGCGGAACGAGAAAATGGAGAGCATCACCGCGACGGTGGTGGCGGCGACGAGCAGCAGCACCGGCGCGCCGACGCAGAAGAAGACGCAGAGCCGCCGCCACGGCGAGAGGACGAGCATCTCGTCGCCTAAAGACACTTCCTGGACACTTCCTGGACACTTCATGGGCGGCGAGAGGACGAGCATCTCCTCGCCGGCGGGGTGCGGCACGAAGCGGCGGACGCGCGACGTGCCGCTCCCGGCCATGTAGAAGCCCCGCTGCTTGGTGATGGACTTCATGCGGTGGAAGGCCTGCAGGCGCTCGCGGGCCATGAGTGTGAGTGAGGGCTCCCACTGCTGCCCCTCTGACTATTGCACTTTTGTCTGTGATGCCTTTCCCTGAGAACGCACACACCGCCCCGTGTGTAATGCTCTGTGTTCCGCGTCCGAGTGCGTGTGCCCCGTCGTAGATCGTCGTCCATGCTAGGACGTGTGTAACACTGACTGACTGGCTGGATGGCCTGGACGAAGCGCGGCCGCGGCGCCTCGTCGCGCTCAAAGTTGAGCACGTCCCACTGGAAGGCGAGCGTGTGCTGCCTAGAAGGTTCCTAGAAGGTTCCTAGAAGGGTCCTATAGAAGGTTCCTAGAAGGCACAGCACTGGAAGGCGAGCGTGTGCTGTGCCTGCGAGCCCACAGCGTGCCTGCGGGGGGGGCATCTCCCTCGAGAGTCAGCTCTCTCTGGAGACAGAGGAGCATCGGCTCGTTCGCCTGCCCCCCACGTCAATGTGCCAGGGGAGGGAGAGCGCCGGCCGCGGGAGACTGCGCGCGCGCCTCGGAGGGTCGCCCACAGCGCGATGACGACGGAGGAGAGGGGGAGAGTGAAGGCGGATTTGGTCGTGCACGTCTCCGCGAGGAAGGAGGTGCGGTCCTATACGTAGCACAGGCAGCCGTCACTCCAAGGTCTGGCCTGCTCCACCTCTGCACACGTCTCCACACAGAGGAAGGAGGTGCGCTGGAATCATGAAGGGGGCGCCTACTACTACTCTTGTGTGTCTCGCACCTTGCGGGGGGGGAGCGGAAAGGAGGTTATGGAACCTCTTTCCAAGAGCGCCACTCTTGGAGCGCCGCCACCACCACCCAGAGCGCTGCAAGCAGCGCCGGGGGCAATGACGGCTTACCGCCCACCCAGCCCCCCCTCGGCACACCCCCGGCAGCCACAATGTGTGACGGTGCTACTACTAGGGGTGCGCTCCTCGTCGCCCGGGCAGAGGGCGGGCTCGGGCGGCGAGAGCGCCGCCGAGCCGAGGAAGTCGCACCCGTCGAAGAGGTAGATGCCCTCGAGCGCGAGGGACCCCCACCTAGAATGTTCCTAGAAGGTTCCTAGAAGGTTCCTGGTAGATGCCCTCGAGCGCGAGGGACCCCCACATCAGCAGCCACAGCCAGCCGGTGTAGTGGTCGAGCCTGAGGGGGACACGGCGCCATGATGCACCCTCAGAAGATACACCCCATCTACCCACACACACAATCTGAGCGGGCGCCGCTCTCTCACCAGCCGAAGTAGAAGGCGATTTTCTCGCCGTAGTAGTCGCGCACGCGGTGCAGCGGCATCTGGCAGAGGCCGAGGTCCGGAAACAGGCGGCGGCGGGTGCGCAGGACGCCGCCGCGCCAGGGCCAGATGCGGATGCTCTGCAGGGCGAAGCCGCGGTGGAGGCTGCGGCGCTCCTTGGCGTCGTGGAGAGGGAGGTAGGCGGTGAGGACGCCTGGCGGAGAGGGAGGGGGTGGGTGGGTGGAGGGGTGCGCGCGCGCCGCGAGCGCGCGAGCGAGCGCCGCGCGTGCGTGCGTGCGTGCGTGCGTGCGTGCGTGCGTGCGTGTGCGCGCGCGTGCGTGTTTACGTGCGTGCGTGCGTGCGTGCGTGCGCATGCGTGCGTGCGTGCGTGCGTGCGTGCGTGCGCATGCGTGTGTGCGTGCGTGTGGGTGCGCGTGGGCGTGCGTGCGTGCGTGTGTGTGTGTGTGAGTGTGTGTGCGTGCGTGCGTGTGGTGCGTGTGTGGGTGGGTGCAGTGCTTGGCGGTGTGTGAAAGGCCGCTCGCCCTTTCGCACGAGCTCGTCCAGGTTGAGCTCCGCCCCTCCACGATCGGCCGTCGCCTCCACCATCGAAAAGATGAGTCGCTGCCGCTCGAGCGAGGAGAAGAGGCGGCCTTGCTTGAGGGCGAACTGCTCGCGCCGCCGTCGCGTGAAGCCGCGATAGGCGGGCTGGCCGCGCTGGTGGTCCGTCTCCGACTTGGCCTCGTCGAGCAGCAGCATGTCCATCTCGAGCCGCTCCGCCTCGCGCTCAAGCCTCTCTAGCGGAGCCGTGATCATGAGCAGGAGCCGCGAGCCGGTGCCCTTTGCGGCGACGGGCTGGAGACCGATCCGCTTGAGGGACTGGATGAGTTCATCGAGACCGGCAGCGAGGGTCCCGCTCGTGCCGCTCGGGTGAATGAGGACGAGGTCCGCCTCGAGGCCCGCCGCGGCCGCAGTGGCTGCCTCGGCCTCGAGCGAGACGGAGGCGGGTGCCTTGAGCTCGGACTCGCCGTGGAACGCCTCTTGGACTACGATCGCGAATTCCTCAGACAGCCTCCGTAGGTTGGCGCGCCGAGAGACCGGGATCGGCGTGTTCATGGACATGCCTGCAGCGGCGGTTGTACGAGCCTGCAGCAGCGGCCGTACGAGACTCCAGAAGGGAGCGTTATCCCACAAGCTCGAAATCAAAGAGAGAGAGAGAGAGAGAGAGAGAGAGAAAACCGCCAATGGCCGTTATCCGTTAGTGCGGACGGCGCCGCGGCTCGCCTCTGCCGCGGCGGCTGCTGCGCGCAGGCGGCGGCGCCGCTCTCTCGCGAGACGGCTGGCGACGCGGCTCGCCGCCGACGTACGGTGCGCTCGTCCGACGGTCCGCAGCGTGGCGTGCGCGGCGCTGAGCGCCGCTCTGCGAGCGCCTCTGCGCCTGCACTGCCTGTCTCTGTTGCTGTTGGTGGTGGTGGTGCTGCTGCTGCTGGTGCCGATGCTGCTGTTGGCGCGGCGCGGCTGTGCGACTGGGCTCGACGCGCGCGTCGCGAGCGTCTGACGCGGCGGGCGGCGTCGGGCAGGTGCGCTTCTCTCTCGGGTGGTGGTGGTGGTGCTGCTGCTGCTGCTGGTGGTGCAGATGCTGCTGCTGGTGCGGCGCGGCTCTCCGACGCGACTCGATGCGCGCGTCGCGGCTATCTGACGCGGCGGGCGGCGTCGCGGGCGGCAGCGGTGGCGGCTCGCGGGTGGAGGTGGAGGCTGGTGGCTGTGGTGGACTTTGAGTTTATTTCATGGTCGTGTACGGGGACCGGGGGGTCAACCGGGAGGCAGGGGGTTCGACCTGGCGACGGAGGACCGTGGGCCATCGCGGGGACGGGCCCGCCGGAGGCGCGCCCGGTAGATCCGGATGGTCTCACGCCGGTGGGTGGCACCGAGGCGTCTTGGACGCTCAGCTCTACCTTAAGCTCCTGAGGGGCGCGTGGTTGTAACCACGTAGTATGACTACAACCCACCACAGACACCCTCCCCCACTCCTCACGTGTGTTCACACCCTCACCCTCTCCTCTCTCCTCTCTCTCTCTCTCTCTCTCCTCTCTCTCCTCTTGTCTGTGCTGTCTGCCTGACTCAGGCACTCAATCTGCCGATGCGTGATTGTGTGTGGGCTGCTCCGAGGGGGCCCTCTGTGCGATCCGACGGGTAGGGGGGCTGTGCCCGGGCGGTGTCCGGTGTGGAGTCCCCTTCTGATCCCGCCTGTGCTGTTGGGTGTGAGGTCGTGGAAGCTTCGATCCCAAGGGGGGGAGCCGAGCCCACTCATAACCAACTCTCAGGGGCAGTAGGTGGGCGAGCTTCAGGCACGCTCATCTCGATCGTCAAGACGTTGCTACGCGCGGTCTTCCGCGGGGGGAGCTGCGTCGACGGGTGCGGGACCGCGGCGCAGCCAGTGCCGTGGCGATGCCTCCGGCTGTTTGCGGCGGGCGGCTTGCTGCTCGCTGCGATGGCGAAAAACTCGTCTCGCCACACGCCAAGGGCTTATGCTCTGGCGAGACGTGAGGCGCATGCGCCCAGGAGGGGAGGGGGCATGTGTAACGACACTGCTAGAGATGCCTTTCGGGGCCCAGAGATAAAACTTCTGTGATGCCATGCGTGACCTAGTAGTGTCCCCAGCTATGGGCGTGTCCACGTTGGAGCCAGGTGTGGTGTGGGCGCGAGAATAGCTCCGCCGTTCATGGAGGCAACCGATGCGAGTCGACTGGTGTGTGTCGTCGTGGTTTCGTATCAAGAATTCTCTCTCTCTCGAAATCAAAAACCCGATTTTCAGCCGCCGTTCACGGCCTCCGAGGACATTAGTTCGGGATTTGGGGGTTCGAAAGACGGGCTGCGCGCCCCCTGACCGCGTTTGATATGGGCCTCTTCGGCAAGACCAAGAAGAAAGGGCTGCCGCCCAAGCTCGGCAAGAAGTCGGAGACGTCCTCCTCCGTCTCCGATCCCCCTTCCGTCGCCTCGACGCCGCCTCCTTGCTATGGAGCTCATCAAAAAAACGGTTCAGTTTTCAAAGGCAAAAACGCCAGCCTACGCCCTCCCCTCACACTGACACTTCTCCCTTATTCCCAACTTTACGTTGCGCACCCACGTCTCCCAGCGAGCTAGGATCTCCGCTTTTTCTCCCCTAGTCATCCGCCCGCGCCGCGCGCCTCTATGGGCGTCTAGTGCAGCCACTGACAGAACTATTCCCGACGGAGCTCGGAGGAGTGGTCGATGTCTCGCCTGAAGTCGGGTGGGCTCGCGCACTGCTTAGCCCTAGGGGAGGGGTGTGTGTGAGGTTTCAGGCCACGGGGGTGGGGGATTTGGGGGATGAGTCAGGAGCCAGCAGCCTTCCTACTGGTCCTGAGTTCACAGCTCCTCCGCCCGACGGGGTGGTCCCTTGGATTCGGGCCCCGCTCCCTTTTCCTGCGCCTGGTCTGTCCCTGTCATGCGTGTGTTGCGAGATGCAGAGCTGGTTAGCTGGAGCACAGAGCTGGTTTTGGGGCACTGTGGTTAGGCTGGAGAGCTTGTTAGGCTGGGGCACAGAGCTGGTTGGGCTGGAGCACGGAGCTGGTTAGGCTGGAGCGGGGGCGGCGGCGGCCGGCGAGGGCATCGCAAGCAGGCGAGAGGCGGCCGCGGGGCGTCGAGTGGCGCGATAGGAGGGTAGGCTGGCCGTGGGGGGGCGCCGCATGGCCTCGGCAAATGAGTGAGTTTCCAGCTGGAGTTTCAATGGTTTATGAGGGGCCAGTATTGTACGCATTGGCACATCGAGCCTGGGGCGTGGAGCCTAGTTGGTACAGCGTTCGGGTCGGGGACGTTTTGGTCGTTGGTTCGAGCTCAGCTGGTGCAGTTTGTAGCCGCGCAGCGACGCGGGCGCGCGGGTGCGCGGCAGCCTCGGCAACCGAGGCGACAGTGGCGAGCAGGGGCGAGCAGGGGCGAGCAGGGGCGAGCAGGGGCAAGCAGGGGCAAGCAGGGGCCAGAGCAGTGCGGCGCGCCTGATTTTTTCGATGGGATCGGTCCGTGGGCGTGTCAGGAGGCGGCCGGCCGGGAGAAACTCGTTAAAACTCCCGCGCGCACTGGCAGTGGCCCACTGGCACGAACACAGTCGGTGAGACGGCCCGACCGACTGGCATCGCCTCCACGCCGGGGCGACAAGCTTGGCACACCTCACCGCCGGCGCGCGCACGGCGGCAAACGACCAGCGTAAAGGCCGGCCGGCACCCACCCGGAAGGCACAACGAAAACGCACGCGCATGCGACTAGAATCCGGCGCTGCTTCCTAGGGCCGATGAGCGATGACGCTCGGCAGCTACTCCCACACGCGCCCGAGTGCTCAATCGCAATCGGACCCGCCCGCATCGTCGGCCGTGTCGAGGCCGCTGTGTGTGCGCCGCGCGCGCCAGCGGGCAGAGGGTACACTGACGCGCTCACCCCGTGGAGTCCTCCTCCTCCGCGCAGTCCGCGCCCTTGTGCGGCCCTCTGCGCAGCACCTCTCTCTCTCTCTCCACCAGGTACTCACGGTGCCAGTCCAGGAGTATGCGCGGCTCGTAGGCGCGCGAGACGCGGCGGTAGCCCACGAACAGGAGGACGCCGAAGCTCACCATGACCGTCGAGTTCATGATCGCTAGGCCCATGCCAAACTGGTCTGCAGCGGCCAGCCTGTCCGCATCCTCGACATCGATGCAGGCCTAAGGTAAGGTGAGATCCGGTGAGCTTCTCCACGCACACGAGGTGGTCGGGCAAGGGGGCCAGGCGACCCTCGCAACTCCACGTCTAACGACAGGAGCCCCACACGGCACTAAAAGTGCAAGGCCCGGTGTGCGTGGGTGAGCGGTGCGATGTGTGTGTGTGTGTGTGTGTGTGTGTGTGTGTGTGTGTGTGTGTGTGTGTGTGTGTGTGTGTGTGTGTGTGTGTGTGTGTGTGTGTGTGTGTGTGTGTGTGTGTGTGTGTGTGTGTGTGTGATGCACTCCTCGAATCCGTGGGTCCTGCGCCGCTTGGGCAGCCCGACAAAGAGGACGACGAGCAGCATCGCCGAGCAGTAAAATGAGCAGGTTGCGGCGGAGAAGCAGTTGTTCATGTGGCGGACGTGCCCACGCGAGCGCGCGACCGCCGCCTGCGTAGACACGAGCAGCGCCGCCTCCTGGGCCAGCTGCTTGACCTGGGATGTCAGCACCACCACGGCGAGAGCGAGGCTCATCGTCACGCTGACCGAGAGGAAGAACATGGTGGCGAAGAGCCGGTGACCCACGGACTTGTAGATGCACACCTCGCTCTCCTCCTCCACAAGCGGCCCGAGCGTCTCGCCGCCCCACATGGCGAGAGCAAACCCAATCACAATCGTCGCCTGCATGGTCAGGTTGTCCATGCGCGTGTACAAGACCTGCCGACGGGTGCGGGTCTCAGATACATGCGGTGCGAGAACCGTCGCCACCCGCGTGTGAGTTTGAGCATCTGATTTTCGAGCGTTTAGCTGCTGCATGTCGAGATGCATCACGTTCAGCGCGTTCTCCTGGTGGACTTTGGCGGCATTGACGTGCGCCAACATGGTGTTCCCGGGGTGGCAGCGCTTTGGAGTACCCTGTGCGACCGCCGAGTTTCACGCTGTTTCTTTTTTGAGCTCTGCCTTCGATGTTATGAAACAACGCAAGGCGGACATGGCATATCGCTCTCGGGCCCACAGACATCCCGCACACTCGCCGCACACCCGCCGCCCCCGCGCGCGCCCCACCCCGGCCGGGAGAGAGGGGAGTGACAGTTTGGGACGGCGACAGCCCGAGTATGTTGAGTCCTGGCTCAACAACGCAGGGTTCAAGAGGGGGTGGTCCGGCTCACAGGTCCGGCTCACGCGCCTCGAGCTGACCATCTACCGCACTGATGAGCACTTCCGCCCCCTCGCTCCCAACCCATCCACCTCGCCCCGGGCCGCGCCGCGCGATCTCGGGCGATCTCGCGCTATCTCGGGCGATCTCGGGGCCGCGCCGCGCTATCTCGGGCGATCTCGGAGCGTCGCTCGCGCGGCGTCACACCTGCTCAAAAAGGAAGGAGGTTGGAGGCAGGAGGTCACGCCCCATCCAGAGCGCCGTCGTCGCCGGGTTTTT